TCTGCACAGGCTGAACTTACTAGAGAAGGGTCTTTGAAAGCAGAAGTAATGATGATATTGCAGAAATAGTCCATTAAACAGTGGTATAGCCATACAATTTTCTTCAAGCAACATTCCCATCAAGGTAAAAGAACTGAATGTGTACTTTGCTTTTAGTTTTCCAACAGAAATAGAAGCTAGAAAAAAACACATTCACTTACCACTCTAGTCAACAATTTAGTATGCTGATATTTTTAATCCAAGTTTATATGCATTGGCCAAAAAATAAGTATCTACTTTGCTGTGGCTTCTGGTGTTCACATGCAAGACAGGACATGCATTTTAGCATGTGTAAATATTTACAAATACATAGCTGTGTGTTCAGGCAGACTTTGATTTTCCCATTTCCATCAGCATTTGGAAAGATTTGATTTTTAGAGACTGTTAAATGAGGTGGCATCCATGATGTGCTTGTCCTCAAGGCTCCTCCTGGAAGGTGTTGCTGTGCATTGGTCGCTTGTGTCCGGCTGTAAGAAGCTTGGAGCGGATCATTACTGTAATCCCAAAGCAAAAACTGACCACAGTGTATTTTCAGATGTGTAATCCATGGGTTGTCTGACAAAAAAAGTCAGTGGTTCAGCAGTATTTGGAGTTGTGTCTGTTTTGACAACCAGCAGCTCCTGGCTGTGCTGGTGGCCTTCCCTCATGGGCATGGCTCACCATCTGCCCCCTCTGTGCAGCCTTCTCCTTCCTCTACCCCTCATGGTTTTTGCGTGTTATGAGGGATTGCATTTCAATGCCAGTATTTTTTTAAAGGGTATGGGTTATCTGAGGTGCAGGCTCCTGATAGCTGTAGCCCAGGGGATGGCCCAAGCCAAGCTGGCTGTGAAAGTGCTCCTTTTATGGAGATATTTTCACCTGTGCGTCAAAGACTGATCAGTCATGGGGCAGCAGGAGAGCCTGGGTTATTGCAGGGCATTTCACTGATGAAATTTGTACAAGTCACAGACACATGTGGAAGGGCCTCCTGGCTGCACCAGTGAGCAGATACTTGAGAAGTGCAAAGTGCCCATGCTTGATCCCTTGTTCTGTTTTTCCATATTTTACCAGCATTGATTTGATAATTGATTACTCCATTCTCAGTTAATGAGGGTTTGTGCCAGTGTATGTGAGAGCAGTTCTGGGTCTGGCCCAGTCTGGATTTTTTCTCCCCTTTGCTATCGGATCAGGCCCTTGCAGTGTGACTGGGCTCAGCCTAGGGGCACACCATAAATAGCAGGCTTGACTGCTGCTTTTTATTTATCCATATTGAGTTCATCAGATGGAAGCCAAAGCTTCCTGGGGCCATCTGAAGCTTCCTGGAGGGGGTACTCTCACAGTCAGATGTGGCTCCTGGAAGGCAGACGTGTGTCTCTGGGAGGCAGACACATGCCTCAGACTTGGATCGCTCCTTTTGGACTCAGTGGTTGTGAAAGCATTTTTTCACAATATATTTCCTTGGGGGAATCTGATGGGTTTAGATCTCGGATACCATCCCCACTAAGTGATACAGTAAAAATAACCTATTATTCTCTGTTTCTGACCTGGGCGGTGACAACATATTGTTTCAGCATCTCTGTCAGACTGTTTCCCTTAAGAGCCATTTTAGCCTCACCCAGTGGGACATAGCTAAAGGAAATGAAACTCCAACCCCATTAAGGAAAAAGACAATGCCTTTCACTAAACAAACTTACTTTTCTTGGCTTTTCTTCACCAGGGAGAATCGCCCCTACCCCCCACCCTTGCAGCCTTTGTAGACAGTTCCTGTAATTGGGAATGGCTGGGTGGACACCAATGGTTGGCAGCAAAGGGGGATAAATCCAACATCCCTTGAACGTGACATGGGCTGGGACCGCAGTCCCAGGTGGCTACTTAGTGACAGTTCCTGTGGTACTGGTGGACAGTACGTGCCTGCCAGCCACAGCTGCGGTCTTCCAGACACAATTGGGATTTTGGCAAGTCTGTACACAGTGAAGCTGGGCTGTTGCTAATTTTGTGCAAGCCTTGGATAGGTAGTGTGCCCCTGTTCACTATTGAGAGCTGGTGACTGACACCAAAGTTTTGGTGGCTCATCTCCTGCCACCTATACAGTGAAATGACCCCAAAAGCAAGCATGACCTTGAGGGTTCATGGACTAAGGGAGAGATCACGATCTGTCACCACACACCAGCTGAGTCTGAAGCATAATTTACACTTACTAATTAGGTTTTCAAGCACAGCCATTAATTTGGGGTATCTTGACACAAATTAGAAATCCCTTTTTATAACGTAGTTACACTTACTTACAAAGAAAGAGTCTGCAAAGGCATCACTTCACATTTTGTGTGCTGCTAACTGGGACAAACCATAGGGTGATCACTTTGTCCCAGGGAGAACCAGGGTTTACAGAATGCAATCAACTGGTCAGCCTTCCAAACTCTGGGTAGAACTGACTAACACCTGGGTCAAAGTAAATCCACAGGCAAGAGGATTAGAGCTGGCAGGAAAATAAAGAACCCTGTGTCACAAGATAAAAGTAGATTGCAAAAAATTGCAATCCTGAAGAGTTTTTAATCTTAGAGGTGGCTAATGCTGAAGGTCTCCTTAGGTTTTTTTACATAAGGGGAGCCTGTGTTCCCAGTGGTCTGTTTCAGGGTATTTCCAGTATCAGTCTCCACAGGGAGCAGTTAAGCTCCTATTTCAAACCTAATCCTGCAGGGATCTATAAATCTATATCTCTGTGCCCTCTTAAGCAGGTTTATGGCTGTCCCACTGGTTCACCAAAAAACTGTGTGAAAAAAAGAGCATACCCTGAACACTAGGTGTGAGCCTCTCTCTTTTGCACACTTTCTCCCTCTGTTGATGAGTGTTTCAATAACCCCTGTGAAGAACAACTTCCATGAGATGATCCAAATGCCCTCCATTCCTCAGCCCAGAATAGCCTGTTGCCTGATGGTTGTGACATGCTCCAGTAAGATGAAAGATAGGGATTCAAGGAGCACAGACAGCAAAGAGAGCAAAAATGAGCTTTCTCCATACCTGGTAGCTGTTGCAGAGAGAGAACCTCAACCACCTCTTTGAAGAAAAGCAGTTATGTCCACTTTTTTTTTCTCCCTCAAGAGAGGACTCCAGGAGTTTATGCAGGATGGTGTCTGTTTGGGGTTTGGTGTGAGATGCAGGTTTCTCAGGGAGGTTAAGGCTGCTGTGAATCCCTTTTAGAGGCTCCTCCATTAATCTCCATTCATGATACCCAACTCAGGTGAGCCACTGTGAATCAAGCCCAAAAGCAACTAAGTGCCTAAACACTGTTACAGAGCCAGCCCTACCATTTTTATTCCATTACTGCTTTATCTCATACCATGTCTCTAACAGTGACCAACAGGAGCTATTTTGGCGGGATATGCCCTGCCTTCATCCCCGTGCAGTGGTGTGATGGTCCATCACCCTGTGATTCACTTTTTCCTTCTGTGAGCTCTCTCTGCTGTTGGTCACGAGGTATTGCAGTGCTCGTGTCACCAGTGGCCTGGTTTAAAAACCAATAGAAAGTCATAATGATTAACGTAGTGGAGATTAAAGTCCCTCTTCAGATCATGGCCTGATAGGCAGCTGCTGTCACAGTGCCTGCTTTGGAAGGCCACCAGTGGGGTGAGTGTGGAGCTGCTGTGGTTTGTGGCTGTGTTAGCCCTCTGAAACTTTCCGTGGTGAATGGAAAGCATTGCAGGTACAGTGATGCATATCTATCTCAAAATCTTGTGCAGATTAAAAACTTCCTGCAGAGCTAATGTCAGCTCAATCCTCGGGTCACTGCCATGAGCTCAGTCAGGTTAGAGATCAAAACCAGTGTGCAGGTATGGGGGAGGCTGGCAGCTATCAAACAGCATAATCTGCAGCATGATTTTTTTATGACTATACTCATAATGACATGTATAAGCAGCGAGTGGTTATGATCTGGAACAAACTTGCTTGTTTGCTTGGTTGTGGTGAAAATTTCAGTATCAACACACTATGCAATAATAACAGGTCAGAGCCAGCTGAAGTCACTTGAGTTATGTGGGGAATTAATTGGCCACATATGCCTGACATCTCAGTTAACATAAAAGCTGTGAGTTACTCCTAAATTTTTTTCATTAGAAAATCTTGGTTAAAAAGGCACTTGTTAGAATAATTCTTTCTGTTATTATTTTTTAATGTCTATGATTTTGAGAATAAATTATATATATAAATTATTAAACCAGCTATGATTTAATATGACTCATGCCACTGACTTTTTAATTAACTAAGGAGCCATCGTTCTCAGCAAACTGTTCCATTGCATAGGTGTGCATTTCACAATAATTGAATATAAAGGCTTATTTCTGTCCCTTTATTGATGTCAAGGGAAAACAGTGCAGTTATGAAAATGGAATAAACTGAAAAGATTCCTTCAGTTCCTGCAGGCTGATTAGAACAAATGACTTTCCGTTGCAGTTTTTATGAATGTATAGTTTTCTGAAAGGTTTATAGTACTTGAGGGAATGGAAATTGCAGGCAGTAAATAACACAGGATCGCTCAAATTATTGGGAAGTAGAAGAATGGGTTTTATCTGGCAAGGTGAGATTTACCATTCTGTATTTCACATAAATGTTTTAGAAGGAGCCAGATGCAGTGATTTGTGCTTTATTTTGGGCATGGAAGCAGCGTTAGAGGCTTGCCCAGGAGCGCCACGTGCGGGAGCGGGCACGGGGAGCCCTGCTGGGGCAGCAGGTCAGCAGCGAGCAGTGCCAGCGCTTCACGGTGCTCTGCACCGCTCTGCCTGCACAGAGGTGACCACACAGGCAGGGGGACTTTGCCTCTCCTGGTCAGTGAAGTCATCAGAATCATTTTCCTATCTCAGCTTAATAAACAACACTGTTTTGTATAGAACGAGTTTGGCTAAACAGTTCTGGCAGTGTTAAGAGAGCTCAGCTGGAAAAGACCGCTTAATAAACCCCTCTTGTTTTTCTTTTGTTCTTTCTCTGTGTAGAAAGCAGAAATATGGCAACAAAGGAAAAGCTTCAGTGCTTGAAAGATTTCCACAAGGACATCCTCAAACCTTCCCCCGGCAAGAGCCCGGGGACACGGCCTGAGGATGAGGCAGAGGGGAAGCCCCCGCAGCGGGAGAAGTGGGCGAGCAAGATCGACTTCCTGCTGTCCGTGGCGGGGGGATTCATCGGTTTGGGCAACGTCTGGCGGTTCCCGTATCTCTGCTACAAAAACGGCGGAGGTGAGTTCCCATCCACGCCCAGCAATCCCTCTCTGTGCCCCATGCTCACTGTTCTTCAGTGCCTTCATCCTGTTTTTAAGAAGATTGTTCATACCCCTGTTTTCTGCCTCCCTCACCAGTCTTCATGAGAGATTGTTTCACCACTGAATAGTTATTTGTAAAATTTTATTCGGGAAAAAAAAATGCAGCAATTTCTAATGTTGTGCTATTGAGCCTTTCCTGCTCTTTTACTTCTGCTACAACTAAGTTTTAACTGGAAGACATGCTATTAATATGGACCATTAGGATTTCAGACCAGGGGTTTTCAGAGTTAGAGCAGTCTGAGCCATATGAAAGTATTATGTGTCTAACAATCTGCCATTTTTATTGGAGATATTCACTTTAAAGAGGTAAGAATATGTCCTTTCCAGCCTATACTCATCCTTTTTGCCGAAAAAAATGAGCAAAAATACCCCAGAATAAAATTATTGCATAGTGATATTAAAGTATCGAATATCTTTCTTTATATGTGCCTGTTGCCACTTTTTGATGATCTTGTGTAAGTTCTGTTATTTAATCTCATTATGTACTATTGTATTTTCTCAACAGGTGCATTTCTTATACCTTATTTCATTTTCCTGTTTGGGGGAGGTCTTCCCGTGTTTTTCCTGGAGGTGGTGCTAGGACAGTATACCTCCGAAGGTGGAATTACATGCTGGGAAAAGATCTGCCCTATTTTCACTGGTTAGTACATCTTGTTGTGCTTTGCAGACCCCTCTGTAAGCCATATGTAGCAGCAGCATTCCCCTCATGCCCATTAACTCAGCTATTTGCTCTAGTAATTAAGGGTATGATATTGGTTCCTGGAAAGGTAGAAGTCAGAGAGTCTGAAGGACAAAGTGAGATATTGATTTTGATGCTATCAGCTTGTTAACTGCCAAAACTGCCAATAACCAAGAAAGAAATTGCATATTATGCCTTTTAAGGCAATTGCACATTTTGTTTACAGGTATCAGAGAAAGTGTCGTCTTGGAAGGCTAGATGGCGTTAACGAAACCATCTTTGAAATGTTATTTTGGTCTGGAAATTAAAATCCGTCTTCCATGTGAAAGTTTATCATTGGCATCATCTGTCTGCTACTGATAGAGTCAAAACCTGGACAGCATTTTTTGGTGGGATTCAGGAATAGGGCTTTTGTCATAACTGAGCAGGTCCTGGCAAATGTTGGTCTGATGTTATCAAAGGGCCTTTGCCTGCTCAATGCTCACAGGAACAGTGTGAAGGCTGCTCTGGAAGTTAGCTAGAAGGAAAAATGAAAGGTTAGAAAAATGACAGAGAATGCCAGTCTTATGTGTAGATTGCCCTTTACAGCTGGACAGCACAGGCAGAATAATTTGAAATAACAACACTAAACCTGTGGCCCTGTTCAAATCCCATTTGGAGAGAGTGGGCACTTCACACTGCTGTGTCTCTAGCTCTGCCACTGTTGCTGTTCCAGGCATCTCTCTCCCCTGATGTCACCCCAAGCAGAAGTGGGGGTTTTCTCTGAGGCTCACCCTCCCACCTAGTACTCAAAATGCTGCTGAGGGTGATGTAATTGTGCTGCTTTAGCTTAATTTTCTTCCTCCTCCTCCCACTTTTGTGAAAACTTTTTTTTTCTTTTTGAGGAGGAGGAGGAGGAGTAAGGAATGTTCCTTGTTTAAATAGCAATCTCCCAGGCATCCATAAAGAGAAAGTGCAGCTAATGTGACTAGCTGTATATGCTGAAAGAAATGCAGATGTACAGAATAAATAGAACTTGCTCTGCTTGTTTCCATCTGACATGAAAATAATCTCTGGTGATAAAGACTCCTGCTGCAGCAAGCTTTTAAACTGTAAAATATGAGGCAGTATATTTTATATATAAAAACCCCAAGTGCTGGAATATCCATCAGAGTGATGTTAAAGGGAGCCTCACAGGTTCTTGTAAGAGACAGCTCTAAATTTTTAAAGGAAATATTTTTATTTTGCTTGTGGTTCATAACTGGCAAACTGTGCAAGCAGAGATTGATCCAGGTAACCATAAGATCCATAAATACCATGCTTCCTTTGCACAAGTGAAATTGAGGCAGAAACCACCACTTTCACACTGATTCCTTTTTAACTCATTCAAGAGATGTCTTTTTTTTTTTCCCCCCCATAGACTGAGCCCAGCCAGTTGATAACTGAGTGGTGCAGGTGCTGTCCAGCTGAGCTGCTGCCAGGAAAGTTGGCTTGGGGCACAGTGTGGCAAGAGTGAGGCTGCCCACATGGGTACCTAAGAAGTGAGATGGTGCAGCAAACAAGCAAAGCCTTGACTTCCCTCTACTAAAACTTGAAATAGCTGGGTTAGTGTTAAATTGGGTAAATTCCTGCAGTCCTCCCCTCAGTGTCAGCACACCAGAGCCAGAAACTCAGCCTGAGTGCCAGAGATGGTGGCAGGTCTGTGTGTATGTGTGGCTGAGCTGAGTTTCCATCAGCAGTGGGGCAGGGTGGGATACAAGCCCGCAGCACAGTGGGAATGGCACCAGCCCCAGGAGATGTAGCAGCTGTCACATCTGCACGTTCTTCTTGTCTCTCCCCTTCTTTCCAGGAATTGGTTATGCTTCCATAGTGATTGTGTCCCTTCTGAATGTGTACTACATCGTGATCCTGGCCTGGGGACTCTACTACCTGTTCCAGTCGTTCCAGAGCGTGCTGCCATGGGCACACTGCCACCAGAAGTGGAACACACCCACCTGTGTGGAAGACACTCTCAGGAAGAACAAAACGCTCTGGATATCACTGAATGCCACTAACTTCACCTCTCCTGTCACAGAGTTTTGGGAGTAAGTACCCCCTCTTCATGGTGCCTTCAGGGAACTTTCGGTGGCATGCCAGAGGTCAGTCCTGAGATTTTATGAAAGCCCAGTGGGGAGTGTTAGATAGGGGAAGAAAATTGAGCAGGGTGTCAGTTTTTTGACCAGTGTTTGCTACTGGTTCTCACCTATCTTGAGGTAAGTCTGGGAGTGGTGGAAGCAGGTGATATATGTGTAAGTGTATTTATCCTACACCGTGCAGAGAGCTTTAAAAGCCCAGTACAGCTTCTTCTTTGAAAGAAAACTTATTTCCTTCTTGGCTGGATTCTCTGAGTGTGGCAGGAGAACACAAACAAGTCACTGCAGATGCCCTGATAGCAGGGATTTACAGTGGAAACAGCGACAAATCATCACCTTTGTGGTTGTCTCTTCCCCAGCTGTTAGCATTTGCTGTACACTTTGTGTAGCTGTAACACATCTCTCTTCAGTCTGATGACAATTTAAGGTTTTGACCTCAGTAGTAAATCTGACAGAGGTGGTGAACGTTGTCCTGTATTCTAGGTTTCTCAGGTCATCTCTGTTACAACGTTTTTTTCTGCAGAAAAGAACGTTTTTTTCTGAAGAGGCTGTTTTGCCAGATGCCTGAATTTCATCAGTCATAAGCTTCTTATTCTCATTTCTCTGTTATTTTTCAAGTTTTAAATCATATTGCATAACGTGATCTCTGAACAGGCATGACCTCAAAACTCTTGTATGTTTATATAAGTGTCAAAACACAGCAGCAGAGGAAGACACTTGTAGGGAAACTTAAATCCAAAGGATCTTCAAATAGTTTATTAATAATTTTTTTGCTTGCTTGCTTACTCAGATAGATAGTCACTTATGGGTAGAATCAGTTTCTGGCCCAGCTTGGCTTTTTCAGCATGTTTAAAGTGCAGTTTCATCTCTGATCAACTTGTACCTACTTCTCTATGTTTAAAAATAAGCATCAGCCAAAGCACCAGCAGGAATCGTGTTCGTGCTGAAGATGTTTGGCATGCATTAGGTTTAGAAAAAAGCAGTCTTAGGAGCTGTGATAAAATTTGTAACACGAGAGCCAAAATATAAAGGGGCAGATTGAATCTGGGATTGGTAGTTTGTTAAAAGGCTCTGGTGGCTGGTGTGAGAGGCAGGGTGCAGGCTCTGAGAGCAGCATTTTCACCATGAGCTCTGCATTTCCATGTTGGGGGGCAGCTGCTTTCCCAGGTGATTTCCTCCCTTATAAATATGGGGGAAGTTGGAAAACAATTAAGTGGTACCTTTGGATATTTTGGGGGAACTGAGAGGCTGCAGGAGAGGGAAGGGGAAGCAGCTCTCACTCCTTTGGACCCTCCCACAATGACTTCGGACTTAAGGCCATGAATCCAAATGAGGTTTCATCATGTGTTCCAAGGTCTTCTCAAGGCCTCCCAAGGAAGCAGAGGTCCACAATCCTGCTCCTGAAATAGTTTCTCCCCCAGATTCCCAAAGCACTGTGCTCATCGTTGCTATTGTGCAGTGATTTTGCTGACAGTCCTTTTGTACCCGGGGCACCTGTGAGCTTGGTGGCTCCTGATGTGGCCATGGAATTGTCCTGCTGCTCTGGAAACTCCTACTCCTGTACTGCCCAGATTTGTGGGCCAGATTGTCTCCCTGGGGTCCCCAGGCAGCATCTTCACTTCAGGAGACTGAGGATACCACAAGAGAAAGGAAAAGGGCTGGGAGCTGGGAAAGGGATTGTAAAAGAGTGAGGACTCCAGAATTCTGGGGAGCAGCAGAGCTCTCTGTGGGTCACAGCACAGCAGGTGTTTGATGAAGGGTGTTGTGGCAGGGCAGCCTGGGGTAAGGGGAATGGTGTCTCCATGGGAGCACATTGGTGATGGAGCTTTTAATTACCTTCCCTCTAAGGGAAACCAAGTCAGAAGACTCCTCTGCAAGCTGAGCCAAATCCTCCTGTAGATGTAGTCAGGCTGGAGGAGCTGAGGCTGGACAGAAAATCCTTGATCCTCACACACTTTGCTGTCTCAGTTGTGCCCTCACTGTGTGTGCAGCAGAGTTGGAGCAAAGGTTGCTCAGTGATCAGTGCTCCTGGAGTAGCTCTCCCTGCACTTTGCAGCCACTTTAACTTGTGTCCTCAACAGCTTTAGACACTGTAAGCTGAACTCTTCCCTGGAGTCTTGCTAGGGAGGAGTTTGGCTTTGTAATCCTACTGGGACAGACATACTGCCCATAATTCACTGTTTCATCATGGGCAAAACTGCCCTTAACAGAGCAAGCTGCCTCCAGGAGTCATGACACTTAGAGGACTATTAAAAATAGCTGCTGTCTGTGCATAAATAACTATTGATGTCTTAAAGTAAGAGCAGAGATCATGCAGCACTGTTGTAATAAAAGTAGCATAGCTTCCACATGGTGCAAGCACTGAATATCCCCATTTTTTTTTCCCAGACATGCTAGTATTCTTTACAATTCTGAAATTAAAAATAGTTCTTCAAACTATTCAGGTACCAACTACTTGAGGTACTTCAGGTACCATGCTGCCACAGACAATACTGGCTGCCAGCCAAACGGCTACCAGCATTGAAAGGACAGGTAAATAATTAGTCCTTAACTGAAGATATCCATCTCCTTTGTGGCACAATTAATTCCGGTTTAATTCAGAGGTTTGTGAGTATTTGGTTTCTGAAACCTAATGCCATTTTTATTGTGGGACATTTATATAGTGTCCTCATCAAAGCACTGCTTTGTACAGCTAGTGCTGCCCAGGTATAATTGACCACATGGATGCATTAACTTCTTCATGTTGAACTTCTCGGCCTGGCTGGCTATACTGTGCAGCCTGACATTTCAGTTCATTTGAATTAATGTTTGGTGCAAATCACATGCTTGCTTGAGCAGCAATAAAAGGGGGTTAAGAAAATCAGGCTTTATATGAGGAGACTTACCTCTTGGTATCACATGCTTCAGGTCTTATTTCTGATTTTATTTTGAAGTTCAAAACCTTGCAGGCTTACACACATATTAATACATAAGGGATAAGTGTAATAGGGTAATTAGGGTTGAACAAAACCTCTGATTGTCTGGTGCTGGCCAAGTGTTTATAAATATTTGGTAATCAGCAGACTTTATTCGTCCAAATCCCAAGAAAGACCATCACATGCTAATGGCATGTAATCCTAAAGGGAGCAACACAAAAAGCTAAACAAAATCTAGAGCAGCAGTCTCTGCCTTGAGGAGCAAATGTGAGAGTCTTTTAAATTGTTTAATATTCTCATTTTAATATTCTTCTGTGCAAACAGAAGAATATTAAAATAAAAGTGTTAATTATTCTTATCCATCCAACATGAAAGGGCGCTTCACCTTTCCTGGTCTGAAAGGTCCTGTCAGCATTCACTTGATTGATGAGCTGGAATATCCCCCAAGGATTGCATAACTCTCTTCATTTTATTTTTGTTTATGTTGTAGAGCTAGTTACAGCTCCTGTTACATTTCCATATTGCACACACTAGAACATATTAGTGTTCAAGGGTCAAGAACTCCTGTTTATAACAAACTCAGCCCCAGCCTGTTGTCCCATTGATTATAAATGAGTGACAGTTAATGACAGCATCAGACTATAAATCTGAATGACTAACAACTCTGTGTGTGATGGTGTGAAGGTAGCTGAGTGGGCTTGGCTGAATCTCAGTAGCTTGGGGGTTATGTAACAAGATTGAAGAGCTATCAGCACAGCCCAGCTCATGCTCCTTCCTGAACTTGAATTTACAGGGTCAAATATCCATGCTGAGTGCTTCTGCAAAAATATGTAGGGCTAGAAGTCAAAAAAGAATCGTAATGCTGAATCTCCCCTAGTAATTCTGAGCATATTCCTTGAGGAAGTCAGTCTTTGTGGGATGGGATAAGCAAGAAAAGCATAGAAAAGCAAGGTATCTGGCTCTGAGTCACCCACTGGGGTGTCTTCCAAAAAATCCTGAAAGAATTGCTGGGCAAAGTCTAGAAGAGATGGTCACTTGCTTTTAGTTCTGCAGTAAAAAGCAAAGAAGTCTTAGCTGAATGCATTAATAAAGCTCCCTGTTCCAAAAGGCATTTGCAGTTAATTATTCACTGTTTCCCAAGAGCCAGCTCTATAGATTGCCTTTTTAATATGAACTGCCCCTTTGTTTGGAAAATTGCCATTTATTTTTTAAAAAGGCATAGAAGGTTGTGGCTGAACTTTTTCATCTTATAAATGTATTTTCTTCTTTTGTATATGCACAGCAGGATTTTCCTTTGTTTCTTTAGACTCAGGTGAAGCAAGACTGCAACTTTATGCCAAATATTCATTACTGAGGGAGTTCTCATAACTATTGAATAGCTGTGCTGATTAGGGCAGACTTACCCTGTCTGGTGCCATTAGTCCTTTTCCATAACAAAATAGACACACGTTCAGAGAGAAGAAAGCTTTTGGTGTGAGAACACGGTCACACAGGTAATCCAAGTGAGCTTGGCAAGCAGAGATGCAGAAACAGATGGGCACGGGCTGGAGTCCTATTAAACTGGTCAATCCAGGGCTTTTTCCAAAAACTAATTGCAGATTTTCCATCAGTGACTTCATTCACTATTATTTCCATGGTAATAGCAAAAAAAAAAAATAATTCATTAGTTCAGGGGAAAGGCAAACCACCATGGTCTGTCTTGTACTGGATCCCCATGCAAAGCTGCGCACGCCACACGCATGAGCCTGACCCAGACTGCTCGGGGCTCTGCTCTCCTTGACTCTGGTGAATGAAATTGCCTGACTTTTACAGCTGCCTGAAAAAAAATTTTAATTAATAATTAATAAAAAATTTGTTAGGCAGCAAGTTCTCTTCTGTAGTCTTGGGGCAAGGCTTTTTTTTTGGTAATAGAGGTCAAAACTTTTCTTTGAATAAAAAACTTGCTGAGTTTACCGGGTTCATTTGCAGAGTTTTAGCTTAGTGAACAGTAAGAAACAGTTTGTTCTTTTACATATTTGACAAATGAAGTATTGAGTATGACAAGGCCATTGCAGTGTGTGAGGACAGTGAATGTTGCATAAAATAATTTTAAAATTAGTTTAAATTAAGTATGTAATGGTAAGCCATGGGAATTTTGAAAAGAGAGAAGCCTTAATGAATATTTCCCCTCTGGATCAGACTCTTTTAATGGTTAGATGTTGCTCCCTTAAAACACAGCTCACAAATTACTTTTTATTTATTAACCTAAGTGAGGGAATAAAATTTCCCAAATAATCTGGTGTTAGCTAAATGAGACCCCAGTGTTGGGGGTGCTGAGGGCAGGCAGCAGCACGTGGGCAGTGTTTGTTTGGGGGGCCCCAAGGGAAGGGTAATGGCTCCAGCCTTCACCCTGCAAAGCTGCATGGCCTGACATTTCTCTGCACTGCTTTTTCCCTTTCCTCCTCGTGGCAGCCTTGTTAATAAACTGAAAAGGAGCAGAAACAGGTGGATACAGGTCAGCTGCAAGTGTCCATGATGTAGACATGGGGTGTACTACCTGGGGTGAAGGCAGCTTCACTGGGGCAAGCTGTTCTTTGATCCCCAAGAAAGCAAATACTTTCATCTCATATTGGGGTGGTCATAGGCTGCTAAAAAGAGCTGAAGGTTTTTAAATTCAGTATATTGAATTAAGGAGCCCCACAGACATAGGGAGATGTAGGTTTGCAAAACACAGCTTTGGTCACATAAGCCGCTGACTTAGCACGTGTTTTGAGAGTAGAGATCTGTCTGTGCATCAGCTGCCCTGCACACCATCATGTGTTCTTAGCCATCACAACAGAGTCTGCATCAACTGAGCTCCTGCATCTCTCTTTTCGTTTGTTTCCTTTCAAATATTCAGGCGCAATGTGCTGAGCTTGTCCTCGGGGATTGAAGATATTGGTATTATCAAGTGGGATCTAGCACTGTGTCTCCTCCTTGTCTGGGTGATTTGTTTCTTCTGCATTTGGAAAGGAGTCAAATCCACTGGGAAGGTAAGTGCTCTTTTACCCATTCTAAAATCATTGCAGTTAGAGATGTTAGGAATACTAAGTAATGCTGTTCTAGAAGATATTCACTATTTCCTGGAAAAACTGTATTTTTCCATTGAGTAAGAGAATTCAACTGACTTTTGAAGGTCATTATCAATGTCCAAAATTCTTGTGAGTCAAGTAGCCACTACTGGAAGGGCATCAAGGAGCAGACGCAAGCACAGATTGAGCCCCACCTTGGCTCTCAGAGGATGAACATCCCTGAGATGTCTGAGTGCAGATGTCATGAGTGCAGAAGGTCTCAGGCCTGTGGTGGGTGGTGCTCTGCTCTGCGTGTCTGTGTTCTCCCTCCAGCCAAGTTCATCCCAGTGCAGCAGGATGGGTGTTAACAGAGCTGTGGTAGGGGTGTTGTGGAGGCACAGCAGTTTTGAAATGCCACTTGCTTACGGAAGAGCTCTGTGGGGACACAGAAGGCTAAACTTAGGTACTCCTTCAGGAGCATTGTCACTAACAAAGATCCTACATAGCTTGTGGGTTTGGTCCCATCACATGCTCTTCACAATCATGTTTTCTTGTAAAGGACAACAGTTGCATCCTGAGCATCCTGCTCATCTTCATCAGTCACTTGGTGTGCAGCATAATACTAGTGCTCCTTGCATTCAATAGTGTTTTTGCACCTATTTTCATAAGTTTTTGAAGCTGTTGTGTTTGTGTAATTCTTAGCTTTCAAAACTGTTGCTTGAGGCACTGTTCAAATAAGTCTGACAGAGAAGGAGGGATCTCAAGGTACTAAGTTCCTCACATTTATTCTCAACTAGGTGGAAGGACGTGACCCCATTAGTGCCCCTCCTAAGAAAAAGGCCACAGTGTGAACTCATCTTTTATAAGTCCCCAGAGAAGTCAGGGGGAGAAATTCCAAGTGCCTCAGCTGCAGAGAGAGCATCGTTTAGCAGTTTAAGCTTGTGGCACACTGCAGCATCAGCCAGGAGACAAAACTTTGTAGGAAGCCTGACCTCATGAGTTCCACTGCTGACTAAACCCCTTGCTTTACTGCAGTTCCTGCCTTGCTTTCTGTGGTTTTTATCAATGGGCCTTTCTAAAAAGCTGGTGCCTTGCCCTGGATTCCCTCCACTTTTCCCCCGAAGAGCAGCTTCCACACCTGTAAAGCATGCATTGACAAAAATGTTTGTTTCTCTATTCCCTCTGACTGATGTGACTTAGTGAGGAGATTATGCAAGTTTTATGGTAAAGATGGGTGCAATAAATGTCCTGCAGCAGCAGAGTGAGAGTGAACATTTCTGCAGCACCTTTCACAACCCTGGTGTCTGCTCAGAAAAGGCTCTGGTAGCACAGAGAGACATTCCTAGCTCCCTGTGGTACTATTTCCACTCCCCATGAAAATAAAAGGTTGAAAACAGGTCTTTTAAAATCAGACATCTAAAAACGTGTTCTCTGCAAATCCTGCACAATAGTCTCATGTCTGAGGCAGGGTGGTTGGTAGGAATTCTCTCTAGAGCAGGGTGGTTGGTAGGAATTCTCTCTAGAGCAGGATGGTTGGTAGGAATTCTCTCTAGAGCAGGGTGGTTGGTAGGAATTCTCTCTAAAGCAGGATGGTTGGTAGGAATTCTCTCTGCTCACCGCGGTGTCAGAGCTCGTGCGGCTGTGCAGCCAGAGACCAACAAAACCATTGGGAAATCTCCGGGTGGCTCCATTAACTTTGGGGTCAAAGAAAAGTAAACTGTAAACTCTAATGGAGGACTTGAATTATTTGAAAAGTCTAGTTTACTTTAGTAGAGGGTTGTTTATAGCACTTCCCTGCTTTCCAGTGTGTTAATGGCTCTTTGGAGAGCAGAGTGGGGGTGGGAGGAAGCTGTAGTTTCCAAATCTTTTGGTAAAGCTTTGGACAAATAAATGTAAAATCATGATGAAAAATATTAGTTATGCTTAAGCTTCAGATAATGTGCTTGATCTTAAAAATTCCTGCAGCATTGTGAGAGAACCTCTACCTGCAGTGCAAAGACTTCTCTGTGGGTTATTGTTCATTTGGTTCCTGCAAATACATCAAAACTTTTTTTTGGTAGGAAAACTTTGATTTTTTCATAGTCCTGGCTTGTTTAAAAAAAAAAAGAAGGTTCAGAAATCCTCCTTTTATCCTGATTTTGGTGAAACTAGACTAATGTGCAATACATGTTATTTGTGGAAAATACAAAGAAAACTTAGAGATAATTTAAAAGGGCATGTATGAAAAAAATTCCTTTCATTCTATGAAATCAACCCCACTCTGTGAATTATTATGGCAATGCAGGGTTTGAGTTCTCCTCTTTATTCTCAGAGGACACACTTATGAAGAAAAATGGAGCATCCTGGGAGCTTTGTAGTAGTTAAGCAAATTCTGGTAAATAAAAATGCATTTTAACTCATGGCAGCAAACCGTAATTACCTGGGGGAATCATCTGACTCCAAGAAAAATGCCCTTTCTTGGACAGTAGTGACTGTAACACAGCAGTTATATAAAAATGAGAGAAAGCACTGATGAGCAAAGAAAGCAAAATGTTAGAGGTCAAAAAGTGTGGGTCTAAAGATAGAACTGTCCAAATGCAAGCTCAATTAACCCTCGTGCTGGAGATGAAAGCAAAGAGCTCTTTCATCAAATGAATGAGGAGATAACACGAAGAGAAGAAGTAGGCTGTTATTCAAAGAGAGTGGGAATAGAGGTTAAAGATAATGAAGACATATTTTCAAACTGGATGAATAGAGCCTTAGTTTCCAGTAATGATGTTGCTGAATAGACAGCAAGGGCAAGAATGAAGTTATAGGACTGGAAATTACCACTGTGGAGGCTGATGCCAACCTGAAGGGCTTGATGTGTTCAAGGAGACAGGAAGGGAGACCAGGAGCATGGACAAAATGACCTTCACCTCTGAACACAGTTCCTGGGGAGGTTGACTGTAGGAGCAGCAGTGGGGCTGCACAGCAGGGTCAGAGGTAGCAGCAGAACTTGCAAAACAGTTTGTCATTTGTAGGTTTGAAAGTTCCAATATAGAATGAGGTAATAATGTTTCAGGGGCCCTCAGTAAGTAAACCTTTTCCCTTCCCTGGCAGAGGTGCACTTGTCATGTGAGGAGGACAAACACAAAGGCAGAATTTGAACAAAAGTCATGAATTGTATAAAATCAGGTCTGAGTGATGTGACATTGACTGGGCCCTCTGGGGGGATTCATGCAATGCCTTCAGGCCTAAGGCAGTAAAGACCACCAAACTAAAAGTAGACACAGAAACTCAGGTCAGACCCTTTTTAGGTATGAGGGGGCATTGAATTCCCATTGCTTGACCTCTCTTGGTTATGGAGCTTTGGCTGCCACAGACTAAACGTTCCTTTTTTTTCTTTTCTTATTTCCAGGTGGTGTACATCACTGCCACATTCCCATTCATCATGCTCCTTGTTCTACTCATCCGTGGTGTGACCCTGCCTGGAGCTGCAGAAGGCATCAAGTTTTATCTGTACCCTGATATCTCACGGTTAGCTGACCCACAGGTACAGAACCAGGAGTGGGGAGCGGGATGATTTCCTGTGCAGAGGGGGATGGTGGAGGGTGATGGTGATGTAATGGCAATCAGTTTTTTTTCCACAGACTTTAGAGGTCCAAATATAGCATGAACTTTAATGCTGGGTTATATTTTCCAGAGCTCTGCTTGAGAAGGTCACTGTTAAATGTGTTAATGCATCTTTCCATGTGTGTGTTTGTGTGTGTATGCGTGTGTATTTTTTTTGTGTCAAAGGACTCTGAGGCTGTAGACTCTGTCCCGTTATACAATCTCAGCTTTCTTGTTGGTCAGGTAAGGGAGATGCATTTTTTAAATGAGGATAGTCTTTAGTTTCAAAGGAAAGACACGTGAGCTTCACAGATGGAACCACAAGCAACAACTGTGAGTATCAGTGTCACTTATCTCCCACTGCTCAAGAGGAGGAGATTGGGAGAGAATTGAATGAAATTACAGAAGAATGAAAAGCCATGCAAAGGTGGAGAAAATGCTTTCTGAGGCACAGGAACTACTTGCTTAGCCCAGGCTAGTGGGAGCCAGGCTTACTCTTTCTGTATAGATAGAAATTCTGTCTGTGCTCACGGAGTGCAAGAATGGGACACTTGAGCAGATCAGAATTGTTTCAGCCAGCAGTGTTCATGTGAGAAATGAAAAGTCCAATATTCCCCCATGAAAAAAAGAAAAGCAAACAAGGGATCTTTGAAAATAGTAAAATGTTTGTCACGGTGATAGGAAATAACATCTGCCTTTGCTACTGCTTTCTAATGAGTATTAGGTTAAAATAAAACTCCAATGGTCACTAAAGGAGTGAAGTAGGAAAAGTAATTGAAAGAAACATCATGAAAATTTGGTTCTTTGTCTAGTCTTGTCCTCTTTTACAAGACACCCTTTTCACAGGAGACATTATATTTTATGGTTTAGTCTTCTTTTATGGGACCCTATCATGTTTATGATCTACTGTTAGCCCTAACCAGAGTGTCAGCAGATAATGTAGGAGAGGTTCATGTGAGCTGGCTGGCTCCCACCCACAGTCTAGCAAAGGCATCTCCCTGAGGAGACAGGAGTCTCCTGAATCTTCTCAGCAAGGTGCTGGAAGTGATGGTGGGAGGGAGGAGGTAATGGTCCTCAGGCTACATTCACACTTCCTCAAACTCCTTGGTGGTTTCCACTGGTGTTAGCAGACTTGAATTTGCAGAAAGAAAAGAACAGATGGGATTCAGAGGATGTGTTTTGATAGCTTGCTATGTATTTACTAGCCAAGAAGTTCATAGTATATGGTTATTTCACTCTGTATGTGTTTTTTTTAATGTACTCAGGACAAAGAATCATGAGACCAAGATCAGATATGTCTCTTATAAAGTGCATTGTATTTTGCTTGTTTTCCCCTCACCCCTGTGGCTTTTTATCTTGCATTTGAACAGGTACAAAAACAACCAGAAAGCTAGAAAAATAAGCACAACAAATACACAAATCTGTTTCTCAAACTTTTCACATCCTCAGTTTAAGGACTGTCGGCTGGTTCTAACTGAAATGAGTTACAAGAGAAATGAGCAATGTTATAAATACTTCTGCATTTCCTATTGCGCTGAACACTTTTATTGTTGTGCCAACAGGAAGGATCAGCTGAATGACTAAGAAACTAGAAATACTGAGCTTCTCTGGGGAGGGGAAACAGGAACTATTGTAGAGGTTGTGTTCTTCTGGGGTCTGATGCTAACAATTTTCTTTTCCTTGTGAAAGCCAAACTTGCGAATGTGTTGTTCTCTTTCCCTGTCTCCCTGGTCCTTTAGCTCTCACCCTCAATGGAAACAATTATTTAGTAGATTTTGCTTAGTTTGAACTGTGTGTTTGTGTTGATTATTGCAATGCAACAATGCTGGTAATAACAGTATTTCTATCTTTCCCTTTAGGTCTGGATAGATGCAGGGACACAAATCTTCTTCTCATATGCAATCTGCTTAGGAGCAATGACTTCCCTGGGGAGCTACAACAAGTACAAATACAACTGCTATAGGCAAGTTTCCATCTAAGGGGGTTTAGTGTTTTAGCTAAATGATGTAAATAAAGTAGGGACAATGGGTTAATTTTTTTTTAATTAACTTGCTCCATGACATATGTGTGACTTAGGGACTGTTTGCTGCTGGGATGCCTGAACAGTGGTACCAGTTTTGTGTCTGGCTTCGCAATTTTTTCCGTCCTGGGCTTCATGGCACAAGAGCAAGGGGTGAACATTGCTGATGTGGCAGAGTCAGGTACGATGGTGTTGGTGGCAGTGGTGGTGGGCACTGCCGCCCAGCGTGTGAGCAAAGTTCTGCAGACCCAATCAGCTAACATCTAAGCGATAAAACAGAACAAGGTTTCCCATAATTGCTAGAAAAAATAAGCACGTTGTTGATTTGGGCTTTAATCTAGAGCAGTGAGGGTTAGCTGGGGTTGTACTGTTTACTCTGTCTTGATTAACAGGGCAGCAAACACATTTCCTAGATTGTGCTAATCCATTTGAGTTGAGATTAGAGCTAAGATAACTAAACCATTATCCAGAGTCCAGAATGCCATTGATTCAAGAATTTATTCCATCCTTCTTTTCAGACTACCTTTATTTCCTTTCAAATTCAAATTGTCCATGTTTATGTATCTTTATAGCTTAGTGTTGCTTGCTCACAGCACTAGAGTAGGATCAGTACATTGGCCTTTTGAAGAGACACACACACATACATTCCCAAATCTCACTGAAAGGCAAGAGAAGTTGGAGAACTCCATCTCCAGGGTTTTGTGGACCATTTCACCTGCAGGAACTCTAGGTGTTGCAATCCTGCATTTGTTCTCTGTAGATTCAGTGTGAGGTTGACAGAACTGTCAAAGTCCATTTTGAAATCTGATGTACACTTAGATTCCTCCCTTATTCCAGAAGTGTCCTTCCCATTAACATTCACCTATGCACAGGCAGAGGTAGAAGCTCTATCCTCATAACTTGTGACTGTATCTCAAACAAAACAGATGACATTTTTCCTCTGTGCATTTCTAGTCCATGAGGGCAGGTGTAACCATGTGTTTTCACATAGAACAGACAGATTAGTTGGGAATTACCGTGGAAAAATAATGAATCAGGCCTTGACAGCCATGAGGCTTAAAGCTAATCAGATTCTAGTAATAACAATGTCACCTGAGTGCACTTTTGCTATTTCTTTCTAATTTTTTGAGCACTTTTAATTCACCTGCATAGAATTTGAAAGCTTTCCTCTGCAAACATGCTGTTAAAATGAAAAAGTCAATATATCTTCTAATCACATGGCTCTGGGAGTTAGGTCTTTAAGAAAAATGTCTCACTTCACAAGAGCTAATGAAAAACTAATGGCATTGATGGCACCGCTGGATTCTTGGGTGGCTGCAATTGGCATAGCTCTTGCAAGTGCAATTAGTAACAATCTTGGCCATAATGCTTATTTGGATTGGAGGTTGATTGCTTTGTTTGGAAACAGGAAGCAAGGGAATAATCCTATTAAATGAATCATAGATAGCCTATTTTTTATTTATATGTAGGTGGATCAATTCCAAGAGTACTATTTTTAAGTATTTGTACATTAGGTTTTTATCTAGTCAATATTTATTCTAATTTTTATTATTATATCTCTGATAGAGGCAGAGCTACATTTCTGTCACCTGACATTTCTAGAATTAAACAATTCTATAGTAACACTGGATTGTTAAGTAATCTTTAAACACAAATTAATTCACTTAGTGTTTAAATAGCCTTTTTCCAATACCTCAAAAAGCATTTTTTAAAAGGAGGGGTTTGATAACTCATTATAGGGACAGCAAGGGCACAGACTAGTTTCTGAACTCGGCTTTTGATTCTTTTTGCATATTTTGTTGCCTACTCCTTTATTTAAATCCATGTCACTGATGGCCAGAGATTGCAGCCGGCTCGCCATGCAATGGGTGCCCATCACTGCTGGTCTTTGGCCAAGTCATTTTTACGTGGCAGTAAACACTACTAAAATTATCCAAAAGTATCCAAACCACCTCCCATGTGTTTTCTGGCTGCTTTTCTCAGAGACGTAAGTGCAGAGCTACTGAAGACCCCCTGGGATGAGTGTCCCAGCACCTGCATGGAGCTCTGGGAGAAGTTTTCCTTTCTGCTGCTTCTCAGCGCAGGAGGATTCAGCAGGTGCTTGAGCCTCTGTTTTCTGGCCTTGCCTTTTTTGGTTTCTTTCGGTGCAAGGTCAGAGCTGCTCCCCTGGATCAGGCAAAAGCAAGCAGAGGTGCTGCCACTTGGCTGCAGCTCTTGGCAGAAGATGTTGTCCGCAGGGCTGAGACCCCATCTCTGCCCAGCGAGTTAAATTCCTCCTGCCCTATCCATGACACCATTTGTTTGCCCTCCTGAAATCCACGGGAACATCAGCAAATTTGCTGACAGCAGAATCCTATGGCCACATTTTTTCCCAGTGCCAAATTCAGTGTAGGTGCCATGTGCCTGGGACACACTTGTCAGCCAGGGCTGGTCACTGCTGGCCTTCACTGGCTTTTGCAGGTTTACTCAACAGTTAACTCAGACTTCTGACTCCTGAGTGAAGGCAGATTTTAAATAAACAGCTTCTTTTTCTTTTTAGAAATTCTTTTAAAGATAGAGAGGAAAGCAGTGGGGGCTCAACAAAACCACAGTTAGTCCTGTCTAATCTGTGTGGCCTCTGTTTGGCTGGAAAAAATACTTTACCACCCGTGCAATTTCGTGCAATTTGTAGCACTGTTACACCAGCACAAGATTTGCTTTTTTTTCTTTTTTTTTTAATTCCATTTGCAAACAAATTCAGATTAAGCTTGTCTGACAATAGTGCCTTGGGTTTCCTGGTGCCTGCCTGGTCTCTGCCTCTGCAGCTCTCCAGCCATGCCACAGCAGCCCATGGCAATCAGCCAGTGCGTGGGCTGGGATCATAGCAGTGCTCACTGGCTTTTAATAGCAGCCACAAGTGCTTCACTTTTGCAAAACACTCTTCAAAACAACAGGGTTTCAAATTAAATACAAATTTTAGATTATTTATGTTTCGGTTGAGGGCTTGCCAGGAACATTTTCTTTCACATGGACTTTTTATATTTCAACACTTAGTTTCAAAAGAAAATCAAAATATAGCTCAGGGGTCAGGGCACTTGGTATTAGTTGGTATCACAGTGCAAGAACAGTTTCACTGGCCAAAGCATACAAATTGCAGCAAATTTTGAGGAGAGCAGTTTTACATCTGTCTCATCAATTGCACAGATCAGCTGCAAATGCCATCTATTAGCAGCTCTCCCTCAGAGAGGATCTACTGTATCCACTGAATTAAGGAGAAAAAAGCAAAACTCCCCAAAATTTGAGACATTCACCAATTTTTTGGTATCCTCTGTCGCATAAAATTTTAGTTGTGTTTCATTAAAATAAAATTAGTTGTTTGATTGTTGGCTAATTTGTATTTATTTATGTTCAAATATTTTCAGTGACTAAAAGCTTTCTTTAGTTTGAAAAAAAAAGTCATCTCATTTTACCTCTTTCTCTTGCTTCTTTTTCCATCTTTCCTGTTGGAAAGGAAAAGTGGGAGGTAGGAAGAGCAGTGTTAGAGATTTTTCTGTACAGACCAGAGATAAGATGTTTTTTGGCCCCACACTGCAGCATCTTAAAAAAAATTCCTTTTCCCATTGAAAATTGCATGAATCCACTTGAAAACTGGCACTTTGAAGGCTCCTCAAAGTAAACAAGCAGATGAGCCAGGCATTCCTGGTTTCACTCTGAATTGTAATCTGCCCTCAGAATTTTTTGTCAGCCTCACCAAATTTCTTCATCTCCTCTGAGAGCCTACCATAAGTGCAGAATTGCCAATATTCCTGTCTCCCACTGGTGGAGGGCTCTTCCTCTCTCCACAAAAGCTCTCACAAGGGACAGCTGATATCACCTGGCTTCAGGTGAGGGTGCCTCTGGAGAGGAGCACTGCACCTGTGCTCCATGTGTGGGTACAAATGAGGTGACACCTGCTCACAGGGCAGGCCAGACCCCACCTAGGGAGGAGCACTCCACACTTTGGGTTCCAGAGCAGAGAACCTGGGCACTCAGCCCCCAGCCCTGCTGCTCTCCTGCACTTGCAGCCCATCCTGCACTTGGGGCTGGTGATGGTCATGCTCAGTGTCACCGTGGCAGGTCCATGTAGGCTGACCTGGATAGGGGCAGATGGTGTAACAGCATGGGGAAGCAATTTTACACAGAGTGATTTTACACCCCAGCAGTTCCTAACAGCAGTTTTCTCAAATTTCAGTTGATAAAATTAGGAGTAGCCTGATCACTCAGTGCAGCAGGGAGGGTTTGCAGAAGAGAAGGAGCAAACTCCTTGGAGTGCAAACCCCAGCTGAGAAAAGCCATGCAGGGTTTGGAGGTTGCATACAGAGGGAGGCAGTGGTTGCATTAGTGGAAATCTCAGGGAATGTTTATAGCAGAGTCCCCTTCCCTGCATGCAAAAGAGTTTCATCATCATCATCTTCATCATGACCATGTGGGCTAGCAGTGGGATTCTGCCATTCCCTTGGGTCACCCCTTGTCCCCTGGCCCCAAGTCTGTCCTGTGTCCATGCAGGGCAGGTGTAGGACAGCTCCATTATTGGCATGTTTGAGACAGATGTTAAAACTGGAGATCTGTTAGCACTGGCCTTGGGGGTTTGCCCTTGGTTTCTGCTGTAGTCATGCGTGCTTCGATTTCAGATAAAAGAGCCAAACTCTTTCATTTCTGGTACTCCCAGCTGCGTTTGGATTTATCTGAACGGAACCAGGCATCCCTGAATTTGAGGGTGGCTGCCTTTACCAAAGAGCTGGTACTTACTACTTTTCTTCCCTTCCCTTCCCTTCCCCCCTCCCTATTTTCTCTTTCTCTAGGTCCAGGCCTGGCCTTCATTGCCTACCCAAAAGCTGTGTCCATGATGCCACTGCCCACCTTTTGGGCAATCCTTTTTTTTATTATGCTTCTGTTGCTTGGACTGGATAGCCAGGTTAGTACAATGGATAAGGGATGTGGGCCTTACTGTGTCAGCACTGCTCACTGAGAAAAGCTGGTTTTACAGGCGTGAATTAACAAGAGAAAATCTCTAATGCTGCTTGAGAGGAATTCATCTGGGTTGCTTTTTAGTGTAGGGGCTGCCCTTGATGAATCTAGAACTGTTGATTCATTATATTGTGTTGCTCAGTAAATCTTTGTCATCTAGGATTAGTAGGGTCTATCCCACTAAGGCAGTACTCCCTAATCTAAATTTCACTATTTCACTCCTGTCCAGCCACAAAATACCACCATTTTGGTCACAGTATTTTCTTACTTTGGAAAAAAAGCTGAATCATTTTAAAACATAAAGGACTGCAGTAGTCTGCTCCGCAGAGTCCTTTGTGCCATTGCAAACACCTGCAGGGTGTATACACCATCATTTAAAAACTAGCAATTAATAACCACTAGGAGTAAGGGTTTTGATGGTTGCCAAGTGTCAAAAAAGAAAAGCAAAGTCAGCATGAGGTGCAAAAAAATCACATAATGTTTTGTACAGTATATCCAGGGTGGCTTCAAGAACAGTGAGAGGACAAAGCTGCAGCCTTTTTTGGTGGCCTTGGGCTTGGAGGTGCTGAGCAATGTGGGATCCTGCTGACTTTCACGTCAGCAGCATGCATTCAGTACCTCCAGACAGGCCAGAAAGCATCTCGGATTCCAGCTGTACTAATTTTATAGCACACGCTGCTATTAATTAGTGAGCATGAAAAAAATCAGAAAGTTCAGTCAGGAAGTTAGGTTATTTTTCCCAGTGGTTACTTGTAGGAATGTTGGACTAAATACTGCCAAGGAACCTGTAAATCATTTCTAGATAGTCTACTCACAAGGAAACATGGGTGACCAGGAATTATGAAGTAACTAATTACACATTCAAAATGGCCAAAATTTTCTGCATTCAAATGTAAAGTCACTAAGATTAAATATATATATATATATATATATATATGGATGAAATATTTCTGTAGCCTAAATGCTCTCTCCTCTCTCATATGAGGAGAGCTCTGTAAATGGAATTTTTACCCAGTTGTTGTGTACTTAATCTCTGACTTTTTTTTTTCATTTCATTTGCTCTAAATTGCTCTTTATGGCTTAATCTTTGAACTCTACTGAGCAACTCTCAATTGCTCCTAAGTACATGTGAAAGTAGCCAATGCTGTGGTTCAGCAACCCTATGCTTATGCAAATTGGAAGCTGTCTAGTAATTTTAAAAAGCTCCTCACTGCGCAGAATGATTAAAACTAATTGGAGCGCTTAATTTCTCTCCTCCACCCCTCTGGTTTTTTGGAGTGCAGTCAAGCAGGTTTCTGGAATGCCAGAGAATTTCAGATCAAATCAGCTCAAAGGAAAGGGCTGCATTTAAAAAGAAAACCAGTTTTACAGAAGTCAAAGTAGCAAGACAGGAGGCAATAAAATTCGGTGGAGGACAAAATCTGTTTGCAGAACAGTCTGTGTTTCCTAAATAGAACTTCAGGAAATAGGGTAGGGTTGTTATAGGGCATTTCTGGGTGCTATAAGAGCAGTGAGGTCCCATGTAGGAAAATGCAGCTTTTTCTGAAATAACTTCTGTCTTAGGTTCCTCATGACATGTTATTAGTTAATATGATGTATCTACTTAAAGTGAAGATCTTTTCTACAGAGGCAGCCTTGGTGGATACCTCCAATCCATATCCTCATGTCTTCAGTGAGCTTGGTGCTTTTGTACCTTGTCAGGTTGAAAGTACAGATCAGTCAAAAGATCCCTTCCATGATTTTACTTGGGGAAGTTCAGTAGTTGCTTTCCTCCAGGTGCAAAAAGATCTGGTTTTTAATTAACTTTCAACTTTTATTCAAATGCAGTTACCATGAAGTGAGATAAAGACTTTTAGCTCATTTATTCAGACCTTCATTTTTGGTTTACAAGTGCAAATAGTTTGCCAGGTCACTGAATGTGGACTGTATGAACAGCTCCATTATTGCTGCAGAAGAACCCAGAGCCTCAGTCAGAGATACTCCTCTCACAGCTCCACAAAGGACACGTTCAGTCAAGAAGAGGTGTTGTTTCACATCACAGTGTGCTTTTCCTTGACTGGATTTTCACTAACAAACCCAAGAGCAGATTTATATCAAATTGTGGAATTAACCTAACTGGTATCTGTAATGTTTTCCTGGTACATCAGCAAAAGCCTGGGAGGTAGTCTCCTAGCTTGGACTTTTTTGAGTGTTTTCCTTCTGCCTCTTCTCTAGCATACATCCTGTGTTCATCTGGAACAGTGACAGCATAAAAGCCACATAAGTGCCTTCCTGTCATCAGGCACATAAGTGCCTCCTTCATCCTTGTGGCTTGCATTTGCAGAGCCCCTTTTTAGCTCATAAGGCTTCTAGGTAATGAAAAGAAATTCTGAAAACTTGTTCCAATCTGAAAGCTACCCCCAGGCTCCAACCTCAGGGTAACAAAGGAATGGTTTCTATTCCTTTTTCAAAAGCTGTGCAGAGCACAGTGCTGGGGAGGGTTTGTTCAAGCAGGAGCCTGGATGAACTGCATGGTAACCTTCAAGTAATTTCTCCACTGTTGTTTTCCCCCTGCAGTTTGTTGAAGTTGAAGGACAGATCACGTCATTAGTTGATCTGCACCCATCCTTCCTAAGGAAGGGTTACCGACGGGAAATCTTCATCGCTATAGTGTGTTTCCTTAGCTATCTTCTGGGACTAACTATGGTGACTGAGGTAAGTAGCACCAGTGCTGCAAATTGCCTTCTTCTTCAGCCATTTTCAGGCCAGTTTTAGCTATGACTGAGACTGCAAAGTATTAGTGACTCAGAGGAGAAGTGCTTTTTAGATGGACAGAGCATCTTCCATCCCTAGATCTGAAAGCATTTTGAATGGGAGTTACATGTCCCTTCCCTTTTCAGTCACAGGAACAGAAACATGAAACCTCATTAAATTCAATCTGATCTCAGGTACCAGTCAGCATGACTATGAGTATTAACATCTAGTTCTAAATGATGAAACATAGAGGAAACCTTCAGCAGAGCACTTTAAGAACCCATCCAGTGGCATGCAGGGAAAGAGATTTTTATCTTACACAGATTAGAATTAATTAAATTCCACTTGGTTTATTCTAGTGTAAACAAGACAGGGATATGCCCCAGTGTTGTGATATTTATCTTCAAAATAAAATCCAAGTCAGATTTTAAAAACAAGTGGAGGAGCATGACTGTGGGAGGTAAAATAGCACCTGTAACAAAGATGCCCAAGCCCCACAGTTTTTCAAGGGAAAGTGCAGTGTAGTAAGAGCAGAGTCTAACAGCAGAGTATAAACAGAGTTATAAAACAAAAAATGAACTATTTTCATGAAAGTAGCCCTTTCACTCAATAAATAAATAAAGACCCTCCTGATGAACTGACTTCATTTTTAGTCTTTTTAAGGTGTTAATGTTAGGAGGCAAGCATTTGTTTCTTTAAATGCCCATCCTGAAATACTTGTAAGGAGGAAAGATTTAAGTGTCTCAGTAGATTATATTAAGCGGCTTAATTTTGTTTAATCATCGTCTTGTTTGGAGTTATTCCTGTAGTAAACATGCATATTCCCTGGGGAAGGTAACGCCAAATATTTACCTTACCTGTTTGCTAGATGCTGCTTCTTGTTGGACAGGAGTCATTGGGATATATTGGTAGATGTTACTGGGGGCTGGGCCTGAATTCTTGGGGTTTTTTCCTGTTGGATCTTAACCATCTGTGTCTCTCTTTTACAGGGTGGCATGTATGTTTTTCAACTCTTTGACTACTATGCAGCTAGTGGTGTATGCCTTTTGTGGGTTGCATTCTTTGAATGTATTGCTGTAGCCTGGGTTTATGGTAAGTGAGAATCCTTTAATCTCATAACTTTTGATGAGTCACTGACAATTTTTCTAGCTAAATATTTAATCATCAGCTACCCCAGAGTCTTCTTCCCAGCAACAGACACATGCCATTAATATAAATTTGCCCTGACCCCTTGGAGACAAATTTGCATCTGGGATGAATCCAAACTCCAGTGTTTTTTCCACAAAAAATATGAGTATTCTTTCATTGCTAATTAATAAGGGCACAATTAAGCGTTTTTGTGTGTTACGTTTAGAGGTGAGAGTTGAAAGTGTGGCCAGCCGTGAAAATTTCTGTTTGTCTCTCAGAGAATTTCCTTTCAAAGCTGCAATGTCTGCAGGGACAGGCCAACCAAACAGAAAGTAGAAAAAGAAAGCTGAAAGTATATTCTGCCCCATTACTTTTGGCAGTGACAAGCACCGCGGTCTGACAGTGGCCTCTCTGGCTGAGCTGTGTCTGGGCAATAATCAGATGTGTGCTGACTAGGACTGGTTATTTCTCTGATTCTCCATTAATTCCACCACCTCAGAAAAGCAAAATAAACAAAATCAGATTTCTGTAGAAGCAGGTGCACTGTTTGCTGTCAGGTGTTTCCCATGGTGATTCCTCTGGGAAGTGCAGAGAGTCTGGAGAGAGGAGAGGGGGAGATAGGGGCAGGAGAGATCAGCATTGCACTCCTGCAGCCAAGTAATGAGGGGAGAGTGGGATGGGAGATCCCCCAACCTTTGAGCTTTTCAAGAAAATCATCTTGGACTTCACAGCTGTGGGAAGCATTTGAAGAATAGATCTGACATCCTTACCTTCCCTTTAAATACCCCTTGGGGAGCCTGGGAGAGCAGCTTTAATCCTGGAGTGTTTACAGAGCTTTCATTTGCTCGGTTCTTCCAGGCGCTGATAATATTTATGATGCCATTGAGGATATGATTGGATACAGACCTGGTCCCTGGATGAAGTGGAGCTGGATTGTGATCACACCAGTTCTCTGCGTGGTGAGTACTGACCTGTGCTCTTTCAAGTCTTGCACTTGGCAGTACTAAGCCCCCTCTTGCTGCTTCTCTTCAAGGGAGGGCTGTTGCATTCATAGGCCAATTTGCAAAGAGAAGCTGAAGGCTTGAACATACCTCTCAAAGACATCATGTTCTCAGATGTCAGCTTCTGACATGACAGCTCTCTAGTCTCTACTGTGCCTGCATGAATTGCAGTTGGCTACGTTTAAGTGGATTTTTCTTAGAATTGGCAAAATTCTACATTCATGAAGAGAAAACTAATTCTCCAAAGAGAAGTCTCTACTTTAAGACATTCGACTGCTAGGCCATTGCAATAAAAAAGACTTTAGCAGTCTGAGGCAGACCTCGGCTTGAAGTACTTCATTGGGTGGGAAGAACATCCTGGTAATATCTTGCAGTGTACAGCAAATAGTTGAGCCCTGAAGAATTGGCAGTGTACTGCAGCTGTTCAGCACCATCTCATAGCACTCTGTCATCACACAGCAGATGCAATAAGCAGTTGCAGATGCTCTTCCAATGATTGAAATGGAAGAAAAATTCCCCCATTGGTTTAAAGTACTTATGGTATCCATCAGCTCTGCCATTCACTGCCTGTCTGCCTCAGGGCCAGTGGTTGCACCACAGCCCTGCTGCTTTAAGCATTTATTGAGCCTCACTTTGTTTTCCTTTCTCATCCACAGGGGTGCTTTATCTTTTCTTTGGCCAAGTATAAACCACTGACCTACAACAAGGTCTACACATACCCAGACTGGGCAATTGGCCTGGGCTGGGTTCTTGCCCTTTCCTCCATGATCTGCATCCCTATGGTGATGGTCATCCGCATCATTCGGTCAGATGGGTCACTCATTGAGGTAAGAACAACCAATTGTCTGTCTAGAGGAGAAAGGGAGCTTTAACTTGTTGTGTTTTTTACAAAGTAATGCTTGGAAATCTGCCACCTTGCCCAGGTAAGGCAAATAAGGCTGTTAAAGATCACCTGTCCTCTGGGCAAACAGTAGAAAGAGAACAAACACAAAGCCTTCTGTCCCCAGATAAACACCAAGTGATTTTACTCATGTCCCACTTGTGCAGCTTCCAGCTTGGCAAATCATTACCTCCACGTGCAGACAAACATTCAAGGACTGGGGTGTATCTGAGTCTCAGGTTTCTCTTCTCCAGTCCCCAGGGACACAGAAGCACCATCCTGAAAATTGCTAGGAAAGCAAGATAAAGAGAGAGACCTGAGTCAAACCTGGTCGTGTGAGAACTCATTGAATTTCAAGGAAATTCAGATACACCTGTGGATTGTGTGGCTCTCAGGAATGGTCTTCACTGGGGGGGACTAAATAAAAGTCAAAACCACTTGACAGAGGGCTTCATGTTTTAGCTTTTTTAATTTGTGTATTTTATTTCAAACTGAGAAACTGGATCCAGATTGCCCTGGTATTTGGAAAGCTTTATGTCTGATTTAGACTCAGTGCAGATTCCCTCAGGTTTGGATTTGCAGGAAATACTGCCTTCTGCAGTTCAGTCTGGCTCCTGTAATTTTTTTTTTCTTGCAGTGTAAAGTTTTTAGAGGCTGTGCAAGCATGAAACTTTGCAGTTCTCTTCAAAGTTTTCAGATTAGTTTTCTTTTTGTCTAACAAGTTTGTTCTGAAATGCAGCTCAGGGTATTCTTGGAGAAGAAAGTGGGACACTTTGGGTTAGGAAAAAAGAGAATAGAATTAAAAAAATACTAAACCCAAACATCCCAGAGCACAAACATTTGCATTTGTTTTCGTCCAAGTGTTAATGGCCTTTTTCAGCTGTGGCCAAGGGCATAAGTGTTCATTTTCCTGCCTTCATTGTCACCATTGTCACCATGAGAGACAAGTCTAAAAGTAGCCAAAACACTGCTCAAAGCCCATGTTAGGAAAGGAAAGAGAGTAAACACTGGTCAGATGCCATTCAGTTCTTCCTTTGTGAACTGAGATGTAGGACAGAAGTTGCCACTTGGCAGTGAGGGCTGGGCTGAGAGGCAGAGCTGTTTCTAAATGAGGGATGAGGACACCATTTACAGCGCTGAAAGCCCAGTGTGCAGGAGCTGGGTAAAGATCCTGTCTGACTTCCCTGCCTCGAGTCAGGCTCTGCAGCTGAGCAGGAGCTGAAGGCTCCACAGATCCCCACATCCCTACAGAGCCACACATCTCCCATAGCACCATCCCTGTCCTTGGAATGTCCTGCACGTGGAGACACAGAGGCCTTCTGCTCATCTCCCGTCTGCTCTCCTCAGGGGGTTTCTGCTCTGAGAAGGGGTCTGCTTTCCTCAGAGGCCTCCTGCTCATCTCTCCTCTGCTTTCCTCAGAGGCCTCCTGCTCATCTCTCCTCTGCTTTCCTCAGAGGCATTCTGCTCATCTCTCCTCTGCTTTCCTCAGAGGCCTCCTGTTCATCTCTCCTCTGCTTTCCTCAGAGGCCTCCTGCTCATCTCCCTTCAGCTTTCCTTAGAGATTTTGTGCTCATCTCACCTCTGTTCTCCACAGAGGTTTTCTGCTCATCTCACCTGTGCTTTCTTGGAGGTTTTCTGCTCCTCTCACCTGTGCTTTCCTCAGAGGCCTTCTACTCATCTCCCTCCTGCTCTCTACAGAGGTTTTGTGCTCCTCTCCCCTCTTTCTTCAGAGGCCTCCTTCTCCTCTCACCTGTGCTTTCCACAGAGGTTTTGTGCTCCTCTCACTCATGCTCTCCTTCTCTCCTGCAGAGGATAAAGGCGGTGGCTGCCCCCAAGGAGGTGAATCGATGGTCCAAGGAGACGGAGAGTGGCACCCCCTTCTGCCCCAATGGAACTTCGAATGGCGGATTGATCAAGCCAACTCATATCATTGTGGAAACCATGATGTGAGCTCTCTCTGTGAGAGGATAAACCTGCTTTAACTGCCGTTTACTAACCATAGATTCTCATAGGACCAGGTTTACAGAGCTTTATATTTGCACTAGGATTTATTTTTATTTCTCACAGAGAAAGTTATTTTTTGTGTGTGTTTTTTTTTTTAATATTTTGTAAGGTAATCACAGCAGACGTCTCTCTGTAGAGGGAGAGCTTTCATATCAGACTAGACATATTACAAGAATTTACTATTATTGGGTTTTTTTAAATATATATATCTTTATCTCTAAATATTATACACCTTACCACTTGAATTGATTGTCTTGCCAGCAATACATTCAAGTCTCAGAAAGCAATTTTAGGTGCTGGTATGGTTGGGAGCAGGGTAATCTACAGAACACACAAAAGGAGCTCTGTTGAGAGTTACATTTTTTTAAACAATGCTGTTTTAAGAGAATTTTCAAAGGTGTAGTATTTCCACCCTCTGGTTCAACTGTGGTAAACGACAGGTGTCAGGGTCACTTCAGGGAGTGGGGACAGTTTTGTTTAGTGCAGTCCCTGGGTGAGGATATAACCAAACAGCTGGAGTGGAGAGTTTGCAAGGGATGCAGAGAAGCTGGATGTGAACAGTATTGTGGCTGTACCTCCCAGGGACAGCACTGGCACCCTGTCACACCAACTGAAGAGAACTTGGGGAAGGCGTTTGCAGGATTTGGCATGGTTCAGTTTTTTGTTGTTGTTGTTTTTAAAATTTTTGAGATTTTTTTTTAACATAAGTGAAATGCCTGCTGTTTGTGTGTGAGCAGGGAGGTTGGGTACCTGCTCCTGAGTTTTCCAGCAAACCGTATTTTGGTGTGGTGGCACTGGTGTAAACTTGAATTCTGCAAACTGGGAGGGCAACCTGTCCCCAGGGCAGCAGGGATAAGCACAGAGCAACCAAGGGGGGAAAGCAGCACCTGCTCTTAAGGTGTTTGCTTGCTCATTTGGACTTTGGTTTGGGCAGGAAAATAAAGGAATCACTTCTGGACTCTGACCGTCCAGAGGTGAACACAAACCAGATCATCCCTGACAGGAGGAACTAAACCCCTCACCTGGTGTAACTGGTATTGATAACAGACATGTTAATAATAATAGTAATGATGATAATAATATCACACAGCAAACAGGTGCTTTTCATCCATGTATCTCAAAAATGCTTTTCCAAGTCCAGTAACCAGGATTTGCTTTATTTATTTATTTGGGGGAGAGAGGTCATTGCTGTTGGAGGAACAGACAAAAGGACTAAGTGAGTCCCTTGTCCCATGTTACTAAATAGCAGTAGTGGACCTGGAGGCCCCATTCTCCTTGCTCATCATTGGATTAACCCATGATTTTATTTTATTTTACTTTATTTTATTCTATTTTATTTTATTTTTAAGGGGGCTGGAGGGTGGCAAACATATTTATGATTTTTATCTGCTGAAGAGACAGGGCTCTTTGGAATTTAAATTAAAGCAAAGGGAACACATAACACTGAAATATTTTGTGTTGGTCAGAAGGAATTGGGCACCATTCCAGGTGAGACTGGGAAGTGAAGAGAAACCCCTACAAGGAGTATAGGAATGGGGGTTCCAGTTCATGTAATGCAGGTGAATGTTTCTGTCCTGAAAACTGTCCAAAACAAGGACAAAAGCCTTTTTATTATTTTTGAGGTTTTTTCTTTTTTTTTTTTTTAACTTGAGCAGGTTGTGCTGGGAACGGATTCTCTGGCAAAGCTCAGCCTTGTCACGTGGGCATTGTATTAGAGGGAGAGAGGTTTTTTCTTTGATACCACAGGTAGTCTTTCCAGAGGTATTTAGAAGAAATACTTGATAAAAGCAGAGTTTGTATCTGCTTATTCTGTTGTAAGCTTAGTCTGTCAAGGCAGAGGTTGTCACTTATTTAAACAGGAACATAAACAGTTCTTAACATTCCTACACAGTAGCTTTATTTCATTTTTTCTTGTCCCATGTGCTAACTGGCCACAGCAGCACAAACATTTCTTAACTTGTTGGTTTCCCTGTAACAGAAACAGGGAGATTTAAAACTAAGAGATGGACCAAAATAATTATTAATTATTAATTTTTAAAGAAAAACATCGGTGCATTCAAACTTCCAAATCTTTCTAGTTTGAATTTGTAGATACTTTTACAACAGAGAGCTGAGTTGCAGCAGCAAAACCAGCCATGGTAGAATTGTGTTTTCTTTTTTCTCATTGCTGTATTATGAGAGTTCTGAAGGAAACTTTTGCACAGCTGGAGATGGCAAACATCTAAATGACACCTGCTGGGCTGGTAGCAGAAACCACCCAAGGTTACAGAAGGAATTCTGAGTGCCAGTGAGTGTCATCAAAATACAGAAATATGCATGCAGCAATTTTATTTTTTAACAATCAAAGGCAAGGAAATGTAACCAAAACCACTCTCTTAGTGGGCTTTAGCTTGGACTCTCATTTTTGAGTTACAGTCAGTGTCTGCAGTAAACAGACATGGGTGAAGAGGAAGTAGAAGGTTAGGGAGGGTCTAAATTAATGTTTTTTGTGAGTACAGATGAAACACTGATGCTTGATTTATTTCTTTTTTATATATCTACATTGTCATACAACTGTGTTTGAGGTTATATAGTTTGCACATTACTGTTGTGCTATAGAGCTGAGACAAGCTTTAGTTAGGGAAAAAAATGGTTTGGCTACATCAGCGATGTCTCCAGCGAGTCAGCTGGGTGTTCAGGCATCTCCCATGTTGTGGAGAGTGCCTCAGTGGGAAGAACCAGAGGAATAATACTACACCTTTCAAAATACAACCAGCAGAGAACAGAACCCAGCCCCATTTCAGTACAAACTGTGCCATTCAAATCAGTCGCTTCCATGTTCCAAGGGAAAGGTCTCGCACATATGCAACAACCTCACTGAAGATTCTCTGTGTCAGCTTCCCTGGCCCTGCTGTGCTCCCTGCAAGGGAGGGCTGGGACTCACCAAGAGACAAGAAATCATTGCTTCTGGAAAACAGTTCCCCTCTCCCCTCCTCCCTTCCCCAACAAAAAAAAAAAAAAAAAAATGTACTTAATTCTTGTTTTATCTGGGGTTTGAGTTCCAGAGAGCACATTTGCATTTTTACAGTTTGGGGTTTTTACCTAACAATTTTATCAGATTTCTAAACTTTTCTTGGTGATTAATTTGCATTTCAACATGATCCTCTGCCAAATTTATTAAAACATAATTTTTAAAAAAATGTTTGTGTTTTCTACCTATTTTGACTGCAAAGACAACTGATTTTTTTCCAATATTTACTTGTTACTCTTATGACGTATTTTACCTGTTTTGTGTAAATGAGGAACTCTGTGTTAAAGCATCATGACTAGTTATAGATGAACTTGTTTGGATCTGGGAAAACAGTGCAGTTTTGGCATGAGATCTTTAGAACCAGATCCCTGAGATTTAAGCCAGCATAAACCAAGACAACACGCACACCTTTTCATGTTGCATGTACCTTTGTATTCATGGGGTCTTCTGGGCTTGAAAACAGCAGAGTTTCAGCAGTATTTATTTCCAGCTGAACTGAAATCAAGAGATAGTAGAAATGCAAAGGGGAACATTTCCCCTTGAGATTTTTCTGATCTATTTCTTATTTTTCTCAATTTTCCAAACCTTTTCAGTTCACCTGTCACTAGTGATGATCTCTCTGAGTATCTATTCTAAGGGACTTTACCAGTAGTCTGTATCTCAGTGTTTAAACAGTATGATTTCATAAATAGAACTGGTTTTTTATTGTTGTTGTTGTTATTATTCTATTTTTCCTTCTCATCTATAGCTTTCCTTTTCATCTGGTCCAAACAGTTCCACACACTTAGAAAAGTCCTCTTTCAAGTTTGAGATAGTAGGTCCACAATGGATTTGTTCTTGTGTTGTAAATGAAAATACAGAAGCCTGGCAGCTGTATTTGCCATCTAGAGCAGTGCTGGTGGCCACCCCGCAGCAGCAGCAGTGGGGTGGAGGGAGTTAGGTGTGATCTGCTGAAACAGCTCAGCAAAATTGATTTTCACTGCTGTTCTTGAGGAGAGGAGAAAATGAGAAAAAGAAGGGGGGAAAAATATAGCTGCTGCTATATTTAAAAACATTCTGTAATGCCAAGAGAAGCCCAAGAACATCAGCAGAGCTTTTGTTGCCGCCGCCAGGACAGCACCTCCTGCAGCTCTTTCCTGTGCTCATCCTCCTTTCCCAGCTGCAGATCCTCCTGGTTCCTCTTCTTTGTCTCAGCGTTAGATAACTCACATAGATCTGAAGACACATGGACATCTCCATTCAATAGATCTTTTCCAAGTCTCCTCCTGGTCTGTTTTTATTTGCTTAAGGAGACTTTCTGTTTTGTTGAGGTTGTGCTTTCACTTTTGGGTTCAAAGCTCCCACTTGTTGCATCACTGGCAAACTTCCAGCTGTGGGAGAAGGATTTGAACACTTTTGAATAACTGATAATTAGCTTCCATGTCTTGTGGTCCCTGCAGGATCACTCGTGGAGGCATGATGTATATAAGATGTTAAATAAGCTGTGCATTGAATGCAGTGGACAAGTTAGTTAAGCAGCTCAAGTACACTTGGAAGAAAGATGACCCTGACATCATTTCCAAGGAGATTCAATGGAAGTTGCTCACTTTCAGTAAAAAGAATAAAAATAAATCTGTGTTTAAGTAGACTAGTAGATGAAATCTTCCACCCTCATATGCACGCACACAGTGGGGACATTGCTTCTATTCCTAGGCTGCAAATCATGTGTGTAAATCTTGCCAAGCTGTTCAGGATGAGGATTGAGGAGGTTTAGACACCACTTGCCTGCAAAGAGCCAACCTGCCAGGGTGTCCAAATGGTCTTTCCTAAATGGGGGTGGTGGAAGAGGGAAAGTCATAACAAAATCCTGGACCATGGCCCTCCAAAGAAGCCTTAAGGTTTGATTTGTAAGCTCTCCTGGCTCCTTGTAGGCACCACATGGCTCCTGGCATGGGAGGTTGGGTGTGGTGTGGGTTCAGGCAGCTGCCCTGGACTTGTTTTCTCCAAAATCAGCATCCAAAGCCTTGTGGTTAGGATTGACGTGTAGTTGTGTATTTGTATATTTGCATGAGCAAAGGTCAGGAACTGTCAGACCCTGGTAGCTTGTTTTATTTCTTATAATCAAAAATAGGCTTAAGAAACAAAGTATTTAGTTGATTTGGTGACACTTGACATTTAAAAAACCCTTGAACTTGTGCAAAAGAGGTGCCCTGAGCTCCATATTTTAGTCACAAAAAATTTCTTATGGTGTTAGCAGTCAATTTGAGTCTATGGGAAAGATTGCTCAAGAGAGACTTGAATATAACCAGCACCAGCATCCACTGGAAAACTGCCTGAATATAACCAGCCCCACACCCTCCACCAGATTGTGGCTCTTTTCTGCCAGCCCAAAAGAAATGTGTACATGGACAGTGCTTCTCCAGAAAAAACAAAAATCTCAATTTGTTTGTTTCTATTAAAAATAAACAGAAAAAGTCACATTCTATGTGTGGTTTTTTTTTCCAGTTGTCACTGGGAATTGGTGATTTCAGTTTACCCATGTCCTAAAAAAAGAGCAGAAATAGCTTGAGACACCATTTCACCAGAAAACAGGGACAAGCTCAAAATTTTGCAGGCTGAAAACTTTAGGAAAACAAATCACCCACCCATGCCCATCAAAGATGGAAAACCTTGGTGGCAGGGTTTGTGCCTGGAAAAGAGCCTGACCCTGCTGGTAATGTTGGGCAATTGAATGGCAGACACAGCCTTTTTGTATTGCTGCTGTGTCCTCATTTGAATCAGTAGAAGTGTCAGAATTTAGTTACCACGAGTTCAGGAGTAAAGTAAATTGAAGATAATTTTAAAGAGGCAAGTTTGGGAGGCTGAGGCTTGTTCCCTGTGGCTCTGCAGTGCACAGCAGAATGGTGCTGCTCACTTTTACATTTGCAGCACAGGGAAAAGGTGGCCTGACTTGAGAAATCAGAAGAAATAATGGGAAAAATAAAGCTAATTAAAAAAAAAAAAAAAGCAAAAACTCAATGATGCTAAGGAGCTGTGCACGTGCTCTGTGTGTGTGCATTTGTGGGGGAAGGCTTCAGCCCTGTAGCACAGTGAGCACGACACGCACTGTTCCTAAATGTACCTGCTTCTGCAGCTGAGATGTTAGAAAGAGTTGAAATTTTTTTTCAATATATAAAGAAAAAAAATTAAAAAAAAAAAACCAAACAGTGGCAAAATTATGTTGAGAGGCTGATAAAACAAACAAAACCTGAGGGGGCAAGTTGAGTCAGTTCATGACCTGCTCCTGTCCTGGAAGCCAGCGCTGGTCTCTCAGCACTGCAGCATCCCAGTACTGTTCTGAAGTGCTCGTTGTTCAATAGGATGTTATTTTTCTCCAGTGTAAAGTTGTGATTGTTACCTGATAATGTTGCCAGGGAATTCACATTGTAAGAGGTGATCCATCTTGTTTGATGTGTTTGGCTAAAAAACAGTGGTGTTTTTTTAATTATTTAAATTCCTAGCAACTGTGACTACAGTAATGTGATAATGAGTAGCACATGCAGCGAGGAGGCGAGGGCGATGATAGCCTCCTTGAAAATGTCATCTGAACTTTTTTTAAAGAAAAAAAACCTTAAAAATATTTTTAAAACATTTTAAAACATTTTTGTGTGTTCCAAAACGGAATATTTGTATTTGAAAAAAAACCCTGGAGTGTAATTTAATCCTAAAACCCCATAGCCTTTGTGTATATGGTAAATGTTTGTATTTTGCAGTTTCTGTTTTGCTTTTTAGATAAATAAAATGTATATGGATATTTTTAAGTCATCTTTGCTTTTTTAGATGAGTTTGTAATCACCTTATAACTGAAAATAAAACTTTCCTTTATAAACCACCTATGCTGTTGGTGGGGGTTTTTTTTGGTCTTTGAGTAGCTCAGTTTTTCCTTTAAACTTATTTTGGGGTTGTTGGTGTGGGGTTTTTTGCCCTTATAAAATACTATATATACATGAAATATGTCTAACTATATATATACATATATATATATATATATATATATATATATATATATGAAATTTATCTAACTTCATATCTGCCATGGTTTCACCCTAGTTGGCAGCCCAGGCCCACGCACAGCCCCACACACAGCCACTCATTCGCCCCCTCATTCAGTGGGATGGGGAGAGAGTCAGAAGGGTAAAAGTGCAAAAATTAATGGGACACAAGTTAATAAGTAGCAAAAGAAAAAGGGGTGACAAAAAAAAACCCACAGCAATATACATCAAAGATATAAGAAACAAAATCAAAAAACCAAATGATGCCAAAAAATGCCATTTCTCACCAGCCAGTGCCCAGCCCATGCATGGCACTACTGTGAGAGTTCAAATATGTCAGAAAAGCCCAATAGGAAGAAAAAGAAAGGAAAAAAACCCATCCCAACATTTATATTTCTAGTGAATGGGACTGTTTTTTAAAAGCTCGCTGACCTCTTGATCCCTTTGGCTTCAGTCAAACAGATGGAGGTGAAACCAGTGTCCATTCCTGAAGTCCTGATTTGATGTAGGGAAAGAAAAAACCAACATGTAGGTGGCTCCTCCTTGTGAAAATAAAACATTTGAGTATCACTGCTGAGCCTCCAGCACCCCATGCCGAGGATCAGTCCCACAGCTGTCTTTAGTTGGGGTTTTTTGGCTTGGTTGGTTATTTTGCTGGATGTGATTGAGGACTTTTTCAGGGGTTTGTCCTCTGACTAGCACAGCTTGCAATGCTTGGGCTAAGCAGGCTCAAAAGAGCACAGACAGCAACTGCAGTGTGTCTCAGGTTAACATAAAATAAATAAACAGGAAATTTAAAAAGCCATTAAGTGCCACAAGGGCACTGAAGGACCTGCCCTGGCGGCCATCACCTGCCCAGGGCTGCAGCTGCTCCCATCAGCCAAGGCCCATGGGATGAGAAGTGACATCAGCAGGGGATGTGCTGCCCACTGAGGCACTTCCCAGGGAGCAGCTCTGCTCTAACCTTTCCTTGGGACACACAGGGAACCCCTGGACACACACTGAGCCCTGAAGCTCTCATTCCATGGGTGCTCACCCAGCCTCCTGCATCCCCTGTGCCTCAGATGGCTCCAGGTTTGGCAAGGCCTCTGTGCAGGGCCCTGTTCTGAGGTGTTCACCCCCAGAGAGCAGCCAGAGATGGCAGATAAGGGGTGTTTATGTGGCAATGATTCCCCAGTCTAAGTGGGATGGCAATGATTCCCTGAGACCCTGCTCAGTCTCTGAAAATTCTGCATTACCCACTTGGCCATGAAGGGTTGTAAAACCCAGCTCAGCCTCTCTCTGCTGGTGAGCAGACTCCCTATGGCCTTACCCAGGGAACATTCCAGCCTGTGCTGCCCACACTGGAGCAGAGGGAACAAATCCTCAATGCAAGGACACAAGAGCTGTGTTGTGCGTTCATGGCAGTCATTCCTCGGGATGTCTGGTTTCAGAGGTGGGGTGATTTGGCTACCAAATCCAGATCCCCAAGGCACCCCGCTGGAGCTGCAGGGTTCTGAGCACCAGATGGGACATCTCCTGCCAGCACATCATTCTCCAGGAGTTCTCTAACCCATCCCCAGGGATTAACCACAGCTTTGCAAACGCTGCCACGTCACGGCTGCCACGTGCTTTGCTGCGTCAGTGTTTTGTCACGGAGCAGCTCAGCTTTGAGCCAAGATTCCCCGTGTGGAAAAGCTGCAAGCAGTGCTGGAACCACATGCATGAGCATCTCCAGCTCTTTCTGTTAATAACCACAGCAAAATTATCTCCATGGGCACAGGGAAGGGAACAACCCAAGTTCTGCTGCTTATGGTGAGTGGGAAGGGTCAACACGGGTAGCCCTACAAACAGTGGCATCCCAGCAAAACCCTCTGCATGGCCTCCCCCTTGTCCTCCAAAGTGTCTGACAAAATGTCCCCTGGCAAGATAAAATGGGGCTGGAAGCAAAGCATTGCCTCACTATCATCCTTCAGCAGCAAGCAACACAAACCAAAATAAATGCATTTCATTTGCTTTTATTTAATTTTAAAAAAAGTCAAAGTCATTCCAATCCCATTTAAATACAGAGATTTACAAATAGGTCCAAAACAGGACTAAAATATTCTTTGAAATGCTGTACTTTTAAATATTGTGCTTTCATAGATACATAAGAAAATTAGCATATAAAAATACTTTACAAGGAATACACTCTAATATATGGATAAAAATACACATTTAAGTAATGCATTTCATCTTCATATCATTCAAAATGCATAGGAAGGGATACAAGGACCAAGTTTTTCTTCTTCCTCCTTTTTTTTTTTTTTAAAGCCTTTAATAAAAGTCTTCATTAAAAACCTATGAGAAGCCCCAGTGAGCTTCCACTGCTCAGAATATTGCATATAAAAACACTTTCGGCCGCACTGTCAATGCTCCACAGTATCAATTATGGCACATTATCTAGCTGTGGCAGCAATGGTATGGGATATTGCATACTCAAAGAGAAAATGGCTACAACGACAAAGAGCTGGGTGGGGCCATGCCTGGAAGGAACACCTGGATTTGTGCTGTCCCAGGGGCTGGAGGGGACAGACAGTGCAGGGACAAGTCCTGGCTCAGCAAAGTGACACACACGAGCTGTACACCCACCCAGCTCCCTCCACACACCCCCGGGTGCAGCTGGGGATGGAGGAACTGGAAGGGCAGGCAGGGAACAGGGGCAGTGGGCTCTGGAGCTGCCGTGTGTGATGGAGGGAGCTCTTGGACTCCATGGCCCAGGCCAAAAGGGAAAGAGAAGCTGCACGCTGCCACCAGGACAGGGACATCATCATAAAGTGCTAATATGGGAAACAGGGCAGGCAATGCAAACATCACAGCCCCTCTGCCACAGGCCCTCTGCCATGCAGGGCCGGGGCTCTCGGGCAGGAGGGGAGCGACCACAGAGCTACAAGAGGCCAGCAACAGGCAAAGGGGCACACACCACCCAGCCCACAGGGACACAGGACACAACCCCACCCAACCAAGGGCTTGTCATTCCTCTGTCTCAGGGGAGACAGCAAGGTTTCATTGATCCAAACCATCAGGGGCAGCCCTGGGAATTCCACTATTCTGCTATTTAATTCCAGACACAGGACAGGTTTGCAAGCAAGACATCTCTGTAAGGTCAGACAAACAAGGCAGGTACCTCAGGGCTTTCAGCCTTGGGTATGGCCCCTACTCTGTAGTCACTACTGAGCACAGGTAACAACACTGCTCATGGGAATCAGCCACACAAGGTGCCTAATCCTACTACGGGGTGAGCCAGACCTAGGGGACAGTGTGGATAGGGCTGGCAGGAGACAGCTGCAAATACCAGTTTTTGCACAAAAATTGCATTTAGCCACTCTCAAGCACATTTTGAAGTGTCTTTTAACTGGCTCTCCCCACAGCCCTGCACTGGGAGTGCAAGGGGCTGCAGGAATTGATTTGCCAGGAGTGTTGAAAGGATGGAGCTGGGCACAACATAAAAGGAAAGGCATTTCAGTCTTGCTGTGTGTGAGTAACTGAGCAAACAAAGAACATAATAGCACCATGTGTGTTTGTAGGATAGCCAAGGCCTTTCAGGGTGAGGAGGATGTCGGAGGCAGGACCCTGAACACTCGATGGCAGAAGCACAGCCCTGCCATGGGGGATGGCTGTGGATGCTCCTTCCTTCTGTTGGCAGTTTGTCCTGCTGCCATCGCTGCCACAGCCCCAGACGCACACCCAGCTCTGACCTTCCCAGCAATATTTGGCGGTCTACAGGCTCACTGGAGACCCACCTCCCCACTTTCAGGTTATGGTACACAGAGCATTTACAAATACCAGTGCAAAAAATCAGAAAAAACACCCCAAATACCACAAGAGCTCAGCAGAGGCATCATCTGCTCTGCTCCTGCTGCTCAGAGCGTCTGGACACTCGCCTTGACCTCGGCGCTGCAGGGCACCTGTGCCAGGAGCTCTCTGTTCCCCTCTGAGGGAGCATTGGCAGCCAGTGCCAAGGGGTTCCGGCTAATCACAAGGTCCAGCTTATCTCCAGCCTCTGAAATCAAGGGAACGGCCAGACAGCAGTCAAAGTCTCTCGTTCGGACGTGGTTTACCTGCCAGGATGGATTTAGGACATGCCAGGGGAAGGAACAACAGAAAGATCATGTTTGTTAGTTAGCAAATGCAAGATAAGTGCTAAACCCCAGCTGGAAAATAATACACAACTCTTGTGGGTCCCTGATTCTAGGTTCACAATGGAGAAGAGCAGAAGCACCCCTTCAGAATGAGCAGCCATGCTTAGCTGAGGAACGATGCAGTAACTGATAGAGGAAGGGGGGAAAAGTCTGGACAGGAATGAACCCTGACCCTCAGTGCCTGGGGAAATATTACAAGTATTAAACACTGCAGGGCTCAAAACCACTTCTCCTGTTCAAGCCTGTAGAAAAAAAGTTGCCATTTTCCATTATTTTTTTGCCATAATGGCTTTTACTGGCCTTAAATTTGTGGTGCCAAGTATCCAGCACATAGAAAACAAATGAAAGCGTGAGGCTTCTGGCAACCATTTTCCAACTCAGCCAGAGGTAAACCCAGACTATACCAAACAATTTCTTCTTCCTCTCTCCCCATTTATATCCTTCATTTCACAGAGTCTGGACACATTTCATGCGGGCTCAGGAGGCAGCTGCAAATTCCCTCTCTAGGGTTCAACTGTGAAAGCAGTTTTTGCTGGCTCTTGCAGACCTTCAAGAACATTTCTAGGCTGGGTCATCTGGAGAAACCACCCCAGCTCTCTCACCTACAGCCACTAGAACACTTGGGCTTGGTGCCATGACAGCTCTGGGACAGACAAGGGTGGCAAACAGCACAGGGATGG